TTAAACCATGTATTTAGTTGGTATCACAACCAGAGCGCCCACTCTTCACTATATTTTCCTCCCAATTCCTCAGAATTTGTCTTGTAAAAGGAAACACGCATCTGGCAGGATATCAGGTTAAGAGAGGATAAGAAGTGGCTTGGATACAGACAATTTGGCCCTCCCTGCCACAGAAGCAGAGGATGGCATCCGCTCCCATGACAGGCTCTTTCCTTATTACAAATACGACCACATCCAAGCACCACAGCTTATTCTACCCCTTAATGCCTCTGTATTTGTGTCTAAGGGGGGGGGGAAGCAGAAAATACAGAAACTACCAAAGGAAAAAATTACTTCATGAATGTCAAAAGAAAATTTTTTAAAAATCTTTTTTAGCCATAAAGAATCTTTTTGAAACAATGACAACTATGAGATGACTCAGTATAAAAAAATATTGTGCTAAGTATGCATTAAGAAAAATTCACATGCACAAAGAAGAAAATATAATTGGATTTGTCATTTCAAAGTATTAATGTTAGGTCTGTAGATAATAAAGAATGACATTATGCTACGCAAGTGAAGACATTTAGCCAAGCAAATAAATGTTGTGTTTCTATTGTAAGGAAATACGTGCACCCATGAAGCAATCTTTTAAGCACAAAAGAAATTTAATACCCAGACCACATGAAAAGTGATCACTATGGGAATGGTACAGCTGTTAAAATCCAAGTCAGTCAGTATTAAATCCTCCAGCACATTTATGGAAAACAGGACTCTGAATGACCACCAAGAGGAAATACTTTGGTTAACAAAAAAGTGACACCTATACTTCATTTACTGCTTATAATAAGTGTGAGAGAAAAATGTAAAACCATTCTTTTTTAAAGAATATGAGGAGCCTAGTTAACAGGTATGCTGTAATTCTTTTACAAACGGTACCTTAAGAGCTAATTTAATTAATAATAAAATAATAAAAAAGGAGTACTCATATTTACTTAGAAGACTCAATTATCTTGATTTCATTGACTAGGGAAATGAAAAAAATCATTGGCAATCAGGTGGAACCTATTCATAGCTGACTCTCCAGTGAGTTTTCAGGATCATGACAGATGAGACAAGACTGAGATTGTTAACCATTACAGCTTGCTCGGCTCCACAATCAACAACTCTTGGCATCAGCAGTCAGGAAATGAAAAGACAAACTGCATGGGGAAAATGTTGTCAAGGGCCTCTCCAGAGTACTGAGAAGCAATGATGTCAGTCTAGAGACTAAGATGTGCCTGGTCCAGGCCTTGGTCTTCTCAATTACTTGCTATGCATCAGAGAGCTGGACAATGACTAAGGATGACAGAAGTATTCATGTGTTTGAGTTGTGGTGCTGGAACACACCATGGACTGCCAAGAAAACAAATAGTTCTGTCTTGGAGAGGGTGAAATCAAGTTTCTCCTTGAAGGCTAGGGTTTTGAGGCTCTGCCTTACATACTTTGGGCACATGGACAGGTGGTACTGGTTCTTGGAGAAAGACATCATGCTTGGAAAGGTGGAGGGACAGAGTAGGAGAGAAAGACTCCAGATGTGATGGATTGGTACAGTGACTGGGGCAGTGGGGGGTAGGTGTGTCAGAATCAGTGAGAGTGGCTCAGGACAGGGAAGGGTTCAGAGGTGTTGTACATAGGCTCTCTATGAATTGCACATATCAGCAACAACAAATCACATAACAGGAGAGTGTTTCTTTTTCTCCCTTGAAGCCACTGGTGGATTAGAACCACCCAAGAGGCACTACCTTTGGGTTAGCAGTGTAACTCTCTACCTACTAAGCCAACAGATATAAGGAGAACAAAAGAAACATAAGAAAAACTTTCGGCACTTGTGCCACATGATTTCAATATCAAAATTAATACTGCCAGGCTATTTTGAAACCAGTCATTCAAAGGGGAACACCCCCCAATGCTCAACTAGAGCATATACTTCTGTAACTTGTATACCTAAGAACAGAAATGCACGAAGACCTCCTTGAGGCCCTGCCTGATAATCAAAATGTTGAGGGATCACATCTGTAAGTTATGTGGGAGAAAGGTTTACAGTCTCAGAAACTCAGTGGAAAATCATGGAGAGTCCATATGAGAGTGGGTCTCTTTTTTTCAGAGACACTTTAAAGAAGCTACAGAAGGAGAGGGCTCCTGAGTAATTCTGACATATGGTAAGCTGTGACTATCAGCAGAAGCACTTAGGATGCGTATTGACATGACAGGGTCTTAGTTTAGCTACAAACATTAAGGTAAGTATTTGGGCACATGAAGGAGTGCTGGTGGCAGTCTCTGCTGCTGTAAAGATGGTAGCCTGGAAACCCTTTGGAGCAGCTGTACTCTGTCCTGGAAAGGCCATCATGAATAAGATCAATTCAATGAAATGGGTTGGGGATTTTGGTTTGGTAAATGCTTATGGTTTTCTCAATTACTTGCTATGAATCAGAGAGCTGGACAGTGAATAAGGATGACAGAAGAAGAATTTGATACCTTTAAGTTGTGGTGCTAGAAAAGAGCATACCATAGACTGCTAGAAGAACAAACAGATCTGCTCTGAAGAAGGTGAAATCAGTTTGCTCATTGGAGGCAAGGATTTTGAAGCTCTGTCTCACATACTTTGGACCTGTCACCAGGAGGGACCAGTCCTTGGAGAAGGACATCATGCTTGGAAGGGTGGAGGGTCCGTGCAGAACAGGAAGACCTTGGATGAGATGGATTAACAATGACTGTGGCAATGAGGTCAGGTGTATCAGAGATGGTGAGGTTGGCTAATGATAGGGCAACAAAGGTTCAGAACCATTGTTCATAGGGTCACTATGGGTCATGGTCAATTCAATGGCACATAAAAACAACAAAATTTATACTGTCTGTCAAATCTGAGTTAACTTTTTAGAGAAATTGGTTAGGATTGTGATTTTCAAAAGACAAGGTGTCTAAACTCGCTGGTAAAGTTGCAGAGAAACTGGAACCCTTATTCACTGTTGGTGGGAGTGTAAAATGGTGCAACCACTATGGAAGGCAGTATGGCGCTTTTCAAAAAGTTGCAAATAGAAATACCCTTTGACCCAGCAATTCCACTACTGGGAATATACCCTAAAGAAACCATAATTGTCATCCAAGCAGATATATGCTCACCCATGTTTATTGTGGCTTTGTTCACAATAGCAAAGAGTTAGAAACAACCCAAGTGCCCATCAACAAACAAATGGATAGAGAAGCTCTGGTATATTCACACAATGGAATACTATGCTGCACTGAAAAACAAGGAACTCATGCAATATTATACAAAACGGGTGACCTCGGAGGACATTATGCTGAGTGAAATATCTTAATCACAAAAGGACAAATACTGCATATTGCCACTGTTGTATATGGGGGCTGACATCGGAGTTGGGGGGGAAACTAAGAAATAAATAATGTACACTGCATTAAACAGATGAGGGAGGAACCATTTTGAAAGGAATACATGATAGGTATTAATATCATGACAAGAGTCTAGAATGAAAGCTGCATAGTAGAGTAAACTGGTGGAGGGGGAGATTGTACAACAAGGAAAAAATTTTTTTTTACTTTTCAAAGTAAAAAGCACACTAGGGGGAGGGATGGGAAGGGAGAAAATTGTGCAACAGCAATGAATGAATGGAAGTCCAAAGTCTCTATAAACTTTCATTAAAATAAATTTTAAAAAGAAGGTTTTTAAACTCAAAAGGGAGAGAAATTCCCTAGTATTCAGTCTTACTCACTTTGCCTGAGATAGGCAACATTGCAAAGACTTCCTAAGTGAGGACCAGGAAGCCAGTTTTCACTGTAACATCACAACAACCCTGCATATTGCTATTATGTTGGGGAGTCAGCCACAGTTTACAGCTACTCTAGGAACAAGAGATGGCCCTGTTTTGTGCCATCCTCATGATCTCTGCCTATCATTACAGTCACTGGCTCAAGCTATCTGATCAAGAGTCTTCCTTTCTTTCCCTGGTCTTCACCTTTCTTAGGATGTTGGCTTTTTCTAAGAACTAGCTCCTCTTGACAACATGCCCAAAGTCCTGTGTAAAAGTGCATCTTGGTTACACTTTTTCAAGATAGATAATTTTGCATAGTGTTTCAAATTATCAATCATGAGATTTGGAAGTTTAGGTTAAAATTCACGGTGGGTGTTAGGAGGTTTAAAGAGGAATCCAGAAGGAAATCAGCTCTGATATACAGAATTTATGTTATTATGTGCTGTCAAGTCAGAAGTAAATCACAGCTGATCCTCCTACAGGTTTTCAGAGGCTATAAACTTCATTGGAGTGGACTTTCCACCCTTCCCCTGCCGGACACAGCTGGTAAACTAGAACTCTGTATCTTTGGAGTGGCAGTGCAACTCCTTATCCACTAGGCCACCAGACCTCCCTTTAAATAGCATAGTCCATTTTTAAAATGAAAAAAAGAAAAGATGCCATTACTGTAGTCTTGATGTACTTCAGCCATTTTCCATTACAAGGCATGGGATACCAATTCTCTTTTTAGAACTCCCAGAAAGATCAAGATCTAAGCTGAAGAGGTCCTTTATTCAACATACCGTCTAGGTCCTTAATCTCTATTTTTTTTTTTTTTTTTTTTTTTATCATCATGATGTAGCTCTCTAAAAGACAGGCAGACAGGACTACCTGATAGCCTTGATCCCATCAGATGATGAATAGTTAAAAGTGTTCTATGATGTCTGGGGTGGGAGTGTCCCCAGTGATGGTCAAGTTCAAGCAAAAATGATACACGTTACTGACATAATGCTAAAATAGCTAACTACGTCTTGTACAAAATAAGCTATTTCCACTTTGGTTTCTCTGTGACAATGAATACAGATAAATGAAATAATAATGTTCCTTCTGATAGCTTTTACCCCATCCTTCTTTTGACTAAACATTTGTCCTTTCAAAGATAGTGGCTGGTAAGGCAGTAGTAGTCAAACGCTCACTTTTCAAACCACATTCAAAGCAAGCAAAATTACTTACTTTGGAAGAACAAGCTGTACATTTGTCAAATGCCAGGCTGACAGGAAGGACATTATCAAATCGTGACAGAAAACCTCGGATCTAAAAAGAAAACAAACCAAACAAACAATCCACATTAAGCACAGAATGATCACATTTATAAAACTCACTGGCGCTCTGGGGGTCAGTGGGTAAGGAACAGCACTGGCAACCCAAAGCACTCAGCTGGAATCCACCAGCAGCTCCACAGGAGAGACATGGCAATCCCCTCTCGTGTAATTTATAGCCGCTGAAAGCTCACAAGGTCAGCTCTCAGTCGGTTCCAACTTGATGGCACATAACAACAACAGTTTCTGATTAGAAATGGCAAAGAATTACTAGAGTGGTCTTGACAAAGAAACCAGAGCAAAAATTACATTCACTGTGTTTACCCTCCTCCTTGAACTGTATGGGGAAGATCTATATTGGGTTCTTTGTTCCATTAGGAACCAGGCTCTAAAAGCCTTTTAGGAAATGAACAAATCAACTCCAAAACACACAAAGGAAGCTGCAAAATCCAGTCATGTTTTAAACAACCTAAAGAACATAATGATATCGCCAGGACCTGTATCTCACACATAAGCTACAGTGCACATTTCTGTGATGTGATATGGAGTGGGACCCACAGAAGGTAGAGATGGGTACCAAAGGCGTGCATTCCCGGTGACCTGCTAGCTTTGAAATAGGGAATGGGAAACTTCAGTTTCATGGTGAACAGCACCACCTTGAGTGCGAACTTCTGAATTACAACCACTTTATACTGTCAGGGAACATCAGCTATTGTCAAGTCTCATGTGTAGCTTATTCAGAACACTACCTCTAGAATGTCACTAACACCAAAAGGGCTATTTTATTCAGTTGCATACAAATACACTGTGAAATATCAGTGAAATATCAGTTTAAAAGAGAAGTTTAGTGGAAATGATTAATCAAGTCACTTTCATTGTGAACTTCTGCAATGTGACAATCTTCTACTTTCATGTATGTCAAGAAGTGCAACAATGAATGAATGAATGGAAATCCAGAATTTTTGTAAATGTTCATTAAAATTAATTAAAAAAAAAAGAACTATCGCAAAAAAGAAAAAAGAATGGAAGGGAGCTCTGGTGGCCTAGTGGTAAGGAGCTGCAACTACAATCCCAGAGGTGCACAGTTCGAATCCACTAGATGCTCTGCCGGGGAAGGAGGGACAATCTCCTCCTGTACCAGTCAGATCTGATTTGGCGGTACACTCACACAAAAATAATAAAATTTAAAAAAAAAAAAAGAAAAAAGAATGGAGAGATCATCTCAGAATACAAATATTCGAGATGCTCAGGCGTAGTTGTACTTAGCATCCACAGTATCTACTTCAACCAATGGTGAACTCTGTCCACAGGACGAACATAGCTCTGTCCTGCCTGAAGTTATGTGGTTCTCACAATCACCAGCATGGTCAAGCCCACCCTTGAGACCACCGTTCCAATGCATGTCACCAGGGATGCCTTTTCTTTGTTTACCTACTTTATAAGCGTAATGGTCACTCACAGCTGAGGAAGTAGTGGAAGAAGGGAGCTGGATTATGTCTTCAGTGACCTGTAAGGCTTTCAATGACCTACTTCTAGACATAGAATATCAGGTCTTCATTCCTACTGTGTGTTTATAAGTCCTGCTGAGGTTTGTCTGCCTGAGTAACCCTGCCGCAACGGGAAGGACCATTGCGCAGCTTACAGCATCACAGCCATATGCAAGTTAATGCAGTACAAAAATGAACAAAAAGGGGAGCTTTGGTGGCCTAGTGGCAAGGAACTGCAACTACAATCCCAGAGGCGCACGGTTCGAATCCACCAGATGCTCTGCCGGGGAAGGAGGGACAATCTCCTCCTGTACCAGTCAGATCTGATTTGACGGTACACGCACACAAAAATAAAAAATAAAAAAAAAAATGAACAAAAATTATGCTGGAATCAGGGTCCCAAAATTTTGCTATTCATGACAAAACATGAGATATAGTCATGTCAGAAGACTTTTTGTAGTGTTATTGTTACTTTTGTGCCATAAAAGGTATTAATAGAGTCACCGAATAGAATGCTGATACTATTTTGAAATTTGACAATTATAGGCCTGAAACAATGTTAAGAGTAAGCTTTTCATATACCCCAACTCTTTTTATATTAGCTATACTTGGAAAAAAGCTTTCAGCACAGTTATTTCATTGAAATGTTCATTAACAAATCCTTCAATGCCTTAATATATGATTCATGAAACAGTTTCTTCATCATATTTTCTCTCATGTAGTTTTAGCAAGCTTCCATTAAGTTGTGCAAGTAAATGTTGGCATTCTTCTCTGTCAAAGGATTTCTTGATTGGAGGTGGGGAGGTGAAGCTGAAGGAAAGGAAAGCAAAGAGCACACTCAGCCAGGAGGAGAAGGGATGAGAGCAAGAGGGACGAGAGGACACAAAAGCAGGTGGTGAGGGACAGAAGAAGGCACCTTGACCACTGCTCCACATTTCCTCTTGGCTCTTTACCAAGAAATGGGACCTCATTTTCTCAAGCTGGGAATGAAGAAATGCGTCTGGGTGTGAGGGCTTTCAGATGAACCAAACTGGGATCAGAACAAGTTCTTGATTTTAGTGATTTTAAAAAGAAAACCCTTCTTTTCAAACCAAATGCAAAAACTCCTAACAGTACTCCCCTGGGTCCCTTCCATTTAATGTGCTCCACTGTTGATGAATTCTAATAAATAGCTCTGAGCTGTAGCATGTTGCCTCAACTTCTTGAGCACAGAATTCCTTACACTGGCATTCAAAGATTTCCCTAGTATGGGTCCAACATGTCTTTCCGCCTTTTATCTTGGATTGAGTTTTTCACAAGTTCCATTTAACTGTAATATCAGTAATAGCAAATAATGATCTATGCATGGATATACATGTGGACATTCAAGCTGGACACGTGTGGATGGGTGAATGGGACTACATTCAAAAGCATGTGGGTTTGACAGACAATATGTCTACATGTATATTTGTATGTGCTATAAACACACCCATGCATACAGGGGAGCAAACCTGGCACATAAACGCCTTAACAATAGCTATATGGTAAATCCTATATACATCCCAAACCAGATACACTTATACTAAGTTAGCTGAGTTCTTATTAGACTTGCTTTACATGTTTCTTCTTGGAAAGAGTACAACCTGACCACTTTTTCTTCCTCACTGTTTTAGCCACACTTGCAGAACTAGATACAGATCAAGCAGGTGCTGGCTCTCCCCTTAAACCAAGTACTATGTATTGTTAGCATTTTCCAGCAGCCTCTGTAATTCTTAGCTTTTTTTTCCATATTGGGGGTTGTTTGATTACTAGTATAAAATATTAAGTTGCTTCCTCCCTACCCCTCCTGAAAAATTCCCTAGTTAGCTGCCATCAGATCCTTGCAGTGCTGCTCCTCCAGGTCATGTAAATAACACTGTCCCATTAGACAAAAACAAATGCCTTTTAGTTTATTTCTGGATCAGTTCTCTCTAAGGAACAAACCCCAACAATTGGTGAGCCAGCCAAGAGACCAAAACTCCCCAGCAGAACCCCAAGTAAAGGAGGTCCATGGAAAAAAATCCCAAGATTTCCCTTCTCAGTTGATATAGGAGTGGGGACTGGCACCTGAGTATGGGGATGCCTGGAAAACGTCCCAAGATTTGTTAGAACTCCTGCAGAGTGGAGAAGTTGGGAAGGCCAAGAAAGACACTTGAGTGCTGTTTACAACAGTAGTGTGGCTAATAATGCTCTATGTGGTTAAACCTAATACTGAAATGAAGACAGTTGTACAGAATGGGTACTGCAATTTGAGGGAACTATTAGTTTCTTCCAGAAAGCTTGTCTCCACTTTCAAACATCTGACCAAGCATTGGAGACTTTAGCATGCCACCTAGCTAAATTAAAAAGAAGGTGCTAGCCTCACCAGAGAGCTCAAAACGATGTAAAGCCATTTAAACAGGTGGGGACCATGCAGTCTGAGTAGAGGTCCTACTCCAGGAATGAAGATGGAGGGAAAGCAGGAACAAGGAGGAGAAGATTCCTGCCAGACCTCTTGCAAGGCAGGGCCAGCAGCTGTGCACACCTTGCTGCCCTGCCATGACTAACTCCAGGATGGTCAGCAGGGAAGGTACCTCTTCCACAGCACGACCACTCCCCAACCTTCACCCTAGCTGCTTTCCAGCTCCAGTGGAAAGCTGTCTGGAGGTGGGGCCTTGGTTCCTCCAATCCTCCAGGAAAGGAACTAGCAAGAAACAAGGGGCCCCATGTTAAAAACCTCCCTAAATTGTCTGCAAAGAACAGACTGGGCACTGGTAAATACAAAAGTTAACACCATACCTGCACATCGTAATGTGGACTGTTTGCAAGAGCACTGGGCACAACCAAAGGAAATGTCATTGTTTTCTTTTATTGATATGATAATTTTAACCTGTGATTATCTTATCTCTACTTCAAGAAGTAGCACTGCATTAGGATCTCATTTACAGTCTTGGGGATGGGCTAACAAAAATATAAAATTGTAGGGCTCTAGATTATCTGTCCAATAGATAAAGTGAAAACTTATCCTTTTCCTACTAAAACTAAAGAATTGCAAGCCTTTCAAGGAATAGTAAGTCACTGGAGGGTTTTTATTCCACATTTAGCTCTGACACTTCACCCTTTATACCAATTAGTATGTGAAAGGATGATTTGAGATTCCACGAAGGAAGCTAACCTGGCATTTCAAGACTCCAAAGTAGATGCCCAATAGATTAACATTTCAGGAACTATAAATCCAGGACATTAATTAGAATTGGGCTTAGCCGATCATCCACTCACTATAGGGAGCTCTAGTGACTCAGTGGTTAAGGGATAGTGCTATCAATGCCAAAACATGCAGTTCAAATCCACAAGCCGCTTCATGGGAGAATGATGGACAATCTCTTCCTGTACAATTTACTGCATATAAAAATTTGCTGGAGGGTGAGGTAAAGGTTGGTTCCAACTTAGACGGTACATAACAACAACTGCCCTGATGGACATGAATGGATCTGGGGCTGGCAACATGGCT